TTATTAATATATGTAAATGCAAGTAATTGAACTTTATATACATATAAATATATATATTTGCAAAGCATCAAGGTGAATTATTTTTTATTGAGTTTAGTTGAAAAAAAGAGAAACCTACCTGGTGTTGTTTGCCATGAAAGTCCGCCGATAAACATTTTTCTAAGTATAATATCAATATTTGATTTATAATTCAATGGAAAAAAGAAATTTACCTATCGAATGGTTTTGGTGAAATAGATCCATCACCATCTTCTGATTGTCCATCTTCCTCATCTTCAGCATATTGACTAAATATGAAAAAAAGAAAACTAATTAAAACTATGATTAATTTTATCGAATCCATATATTTCTGTTAATATCTACCTTGAATAAACAATTAAGATATGGAGGAACAAAAAAGAATCTTTATCAATAAGATAATTATTTAGTAGAATTAATATTCATCATGATAAACAGTATCAATATAGTATAGAACAGAACGAAGAAGAAGAAGAAAAAAGTATATATGTACACCCACTCGAGTAAGAAAACATGCTTCCTTTTTTTCATAGTGCTTGACGATATGCCTCTAAGCATAAAACAGATTTGACATTTTGACAGTCTGCGAGTAATTAGTCTCTCTCTTGAAAATATACGTAACAAAGGAGTGATAAAGACACAAAGAGATCTTGTACTACGTCATCATTCATTGACTGCATCAGATTGATGATGTTTTAACGCCGTTTTTTACATTTAGCTCGTCAAAACCGTATTCATTTTTTTTCTTCTTTCCGATAAGTCGTTCAAGGTCATTCGTTCTTTTTTTCTCGGTTTTTTTTTCTTGTTTACGATTCATTCACGTTATTTTATGATTCAATTAGAATTTGAACTACGATTGGTCGTGCATACATACATCTATATACGTGTGTGTCATAACGAATTGAAATTAATGAAAAGGTTTCCGATTACTACATATACCTAAGCATAGAATTTACTTGGAATTGAAGTAAAAAGTCAAATCATAAAAAACAAAAGAACAAATATACCAAAGAGCAACATATCAATTTATTCTATTGATTATGTCTCTATTGGTGAGAAGAAAAAAAAAAGAAAGAAAGAACAATGTGATCTCGTAATTTTGTATAAGAGTAACAGAAAACGAGAAACACTAACTGATATTATAGCTAGAAATAAGACCTATGTTAATAGATGTCAACCCACATTGATTAATCTCAATATTTTGTCGTGTTTGTATTTTACCCCCATCAAATCATATGTCAATAAATAAAAAGAAAAGAAAAAGAATAGATGAAAGGCTATCACTATAGAAAGTAATAAAAAAAACCTTGTATTTAAATATAGACATCGGAATGTCTTGATAATCTGCCTGTTCGCGTTCAATTTGATGTCCCTCATATGACACGTTTATGTCGTGCTCAATCATTGTATTACTATTCAGTCTCATTTCTTTTCCTAATATCGACGCAACACACACATAAATGCGTCTCGTATTTAATCTACGGGTAAGTCGCTGATACGTTAGATCTAAATGATAGATGAATAGAAAAAAAAAGAGTAAGAGTGCCGTGGGCAGAATAATCATAATCATCACTGAATCTCCTGTCCTCGCCAATACGCCTCCACAACCATATGTTCTTAAAGATTATACCATCAGTAGTCGTAGTAGTAGAAGAAGGAACAGCAGCGAGAACAACAACAATATTAACAACAACAGTTGAAAGTGCTATAATTGCAGACAGATCTGACTTAGCTTATCCTATTTTTTTTCTTACCCATTCGATTGATATTGAGGAGATCTGCCATTGACATGTGGAGAGTAATAGTGTGGAGCAGGTGCATATCGATAAGGTGATCTGGACGATGCCGGTAGATCGTAATGATGAGATGGAGATGAGAGTGAATGATGCCACGCTGGCGATCCGTATTGATGATGCGAATAGGTCGGTGAATAATAGGAATACTGCGGTGGCGGCGGAGGCGGAGCCACAGAGTCTTTCATTCTATACTATGTTCTACAAAATGATGATTGAAGATAGATAGAAGTCGTAAAAAAGAGTAGAAAAAATAAAGAAGAGCAACGAGAAAAAGAAAAAAAAAAGTAAGTTGCATCTGTGTGTTAAACGTGAGAGGATAGGCACGTGCTTAATGGCATTATCCTCACCATCAAACGGTACCCAAAACTAAAACATTCCCCTAGAGAATGAAGAAAACAACACACATACGCATTCGTTGATGGTTATACACACATACACACGAGAAAAACGCGACAGAGAAAAAAAATTATGACGAGAAACAGGAATAGAGTAAAGGAAGGCAATTTTTTCTCTCGTTTTTCTCTCTTTCTCTCTCATTTTTCTATTGTTAGATTTGTTGTGCTTGACAAGTCATCTTCTTTTCTACATAATACCTCGCATTTTTTCCTTTCGGCTGGACAGCTGATAATAGTCTATCTAATTACATGATTCTGACCTATACTATGAATCAAATACGAATTTGGCATGCTTCTAACGCTTTTTTTTTGCACCGATACTGTCGTTCTGCTTCTTCTTCTTCTTGTTGTTGTTTATTTCTCTCGTAGGGTATCGATAGAAGTAGCAAAAAAAAAGAAAAGAGAGCAAGAAGAAAAAGAGTGGAACAAGAAAAAGAAAAACGAAGGACTTGAGGAAGATCGATAGCAGAAAGAACCTCTTCCTTATTCTCTTTCTCGTTCTTTCTTAACGTTGGTCCGATCGACATCATACTATACCAATACAATACCAAATAATCAATTCTCTTATCATCGTCATCCAACGAACGAACGAATGATCGAGCACACCACGACAGTAAAAGTGTAAAAAAAAGCAATAGTTAATCTGTTTTGGTTAGATAGAATTTTTAAAAAAAAACTATATTTATATATGTAGATACTCTAAGAAAAACATATTTATAGTTTGCATAATAAGTTCATAAATGAGAGAAATAATAATAAAATTAATACAAGAATAAATAACTAAAAAATAATGACATCATTAATCAAATATTGAAATAAATCTAACGAAAATACTCATAGATATAACCAAGACATCTTGCACAAATAATTTGATATTAAAATACAAGAAAATAAGCGAACAGAACAATCATCGTCATCATCATCATCATCATACCAGCTACTCGTCATCAGCATGCAAGAATAATCCAATTTTTACCCGCATGTCGTCATGACGCCATTCTGAGAAGAATTTCATTGATTTACATGAACATATTCGTTATGCCTCATATCATTTTAATCATACAGGACTTAGTTCGCTAATCTTTGAATACGTACTCGAATTATTTTACAGTTGATTTCACGTATAAAATAATTTTCTTATTATCTTATTTGCAACTTTTTTTACTCGAGATAGATGTCATTCATTTACGATATTTTAATAGTTTTTCTTTCTTTATACTTAATTATTAAGTTTAATAATTATACATCTAATATTATTCAGTTAGAAACACTTATTATTAATATGAACAAATTGAAAAATAAAGACATTCTTACTTTTCCATATCATCAGTAGAATAGATAATAGAAGTTGCCATAGATGTTGGTATTGTAGTTGATTCTGTTATTGACATAGTTCTTAATCTTCTAATCTGTCCGTCTTATTCTGTTTCAATCAAATGATCGACATGATTATTTATTTCTCTTCTCACTATTATCATCGTTATTTTGTGTTTTTTTTCTTGTACTATTACTGCGTTGCTTTTCTCTCCCGATGTGTATAACATTCACTTGATACGATCACATACGTCGGTGGTAAAATCACCATTGTATATGTATATATACATATATATTAACGAATTCCACTGACCTTTTCATTTGTTACGGATGTAGTGATCCGGTTGATGATAGTAGGTGGCAGTCTAGATTCTATTTTGTATAGACTAAATGAGTATCATACGGGAATCAAAGTTACATAGAGGAAGATTGGAGAAAAATTAATTCACTTTAACAAAAAGATATTTTTTTGTCACAAACACAATTGCTAATACTTGTTCATAATATGATTTGTCCATGAAAATAAAGATAGAATTAAATAAAATATCTGTTAATAGATGGGTCAATGTCTCAATATTTGAGATAAAGACAAGCATGTTCTTTCCTAACTACTTATCATAATACAGTCAATGATGTATTGATTGATTTGTATCATTAGTGAAGATTCATTGCAAACTATTGTATTCTACTACTATCTATAATTTTTACGAAAAACGATATTTATAGGACGAAATTATTTTGATCATTACATTTCAAAATTTCCATAGTTGATCATTATACAATTCTGTAGAGTCTCAACTCTAAAAGAATATTTCAAATGAGTTTCTCGTATCTAGCTCTATGATACAATGATTAAATCTTCTTTCTGTACTCTTTGGCAATATTAAGAAATGATTCATACTATATGTCCGTATATTCAGCAATTGGATCATAAACTACATGTAAATGTTATTCTAAAACTTTATTATGACCGAAATAATAATATGATATAAAGTAAATAATTTCTTCTGCTTTATACCCTTTTAATTGTAAAGAAACTGTTTTCTTATAGTATAGAATGCCTGTAAGGTACACTTGATTAACTAGAAATATTAGCATTTCGATTGACGATGATGATTTTATACTTGATTGAATTTCAAAGAAAAAGCTTTAATTGAGTCTTGCCTATGAATTGAAATGTATCCGAAAAAAATATATCTTAATAATAGGACTAATATTACTTATCATAGAAACAATTGTAGTTCAAAAGATATTATTATCGATTTTTATTGCGAAATTGAATTTTTATAAGTAATTAATAAAAGATACAATCATACTTGATCTGTCTGTACTCTTTTCATTGATTTACACTAACAATGTTGTTAAACGAAGGCTTTAACAAGTGTAATATTTAAATCTCATGGTTACTTAAACGTCTCATCGACATTTATACTTTATTCTTTGTTCAATTATCGTCATCATCTTCTTATTTCAGAAGATGTATTTAATAATAAAAATAGGAAACAATGTTCAACTATTTTTAATTATCTGTATATTATTCTTCTCAATATGTATTGATGAAAGTAAATTACTTTAAAATAATTAATTAGAAATCTTTGATATCTTTCTTTGAAGTTTCTTCAATAGCTAGTTATTGTTATCAATGTAATTCACGAAATTCATTATGTCGTATTGATGTTAATGTAACATTAAAACGAGATGGAACACCATGCAATGGGCAATGTTATACGCGTATTAATCGTGATGATGAAAGTACGATTTATCGAGGTTGCTCATGGGAACATGGTTTTATGACTCTACAAGAACCAAATACGCTTGTTCTTGAAGGCAATTCTGTTTGGATATTTTGTAATAAACCTTAGTAAGTATTTTTCTTTTTAAATCCATTTTCTAATTAATACAAAAAAACATTTTTAGTTGTAATTATGAAGCAACATCTCTGTTAAATAGTAAATAATCATATACAGTTGAAAAAATGAATGATTAACATTGATTCTTTATTTTTCTAGCTGTTTGTTATCAACCAATTTGTAGTTTTCTTAAATTTCCTCAAGATTGCAAATTACCCAATGCAGATATTACATGTGGACGATTTTGTGGTAATTTATTATGTGGTTCAAGACCTATTCGTCGACGAAATCGAAATCGCAATCGTATTCGTAGACGTCATCGAAAACCCATTCGAAAAGGCTAATTTTAATAAATATTCTGATTATTTTTGTACATAGTTTAGCTTTTTTCTTAATCAATTGAATATAATATCAATAAATATGGTTAATATATCAAGGATAAATAAAGTTTTTTCTTAATTAATACATCTTGAAATAGATTCTATGTTAAAACAATATATATGTTAATTCATTAAGTTTGATATCTTATATATTACGTCAACGGACGCCATCTGGTTATGTCAAATAGAATTATATAAGTGGCTTAATTATATCTTTAGGATGTTATATCTTATGAAAGATATTTCCTTTAGTTTATGTTCGTTTTCTTATTTCATTGATGAAACTTTGATATTTAAGTTTTATATTTAGTAAATTCTACTAGTCGAATTATTCAAGGACATTATGATTGATTTTACATATAGAACATATCTAAAACTAACTGATAGGACTGCTCTTGTCTGTGTCTTTCGTTCGTTCGTTCGTTCGTTATTGATTCGATCATATATTTATTGCGTTTTCTGTAAGCGAGTGAGACACGTCAACGAAAGAAAAATAGTAATAAAAGAAAAAAAAAACGAGAGATAGGCTTTATCATATTGTTTGTTTGCTATAGATCCACATGTATGGGCATATTTTATAGAAATAGTAAGTAAACCAATGTGTTTTTTTTATTATATGATTCATTTCATTGAATATATTCAATAGAACAAAATAATGAACGTTGGTATAGCACAAGGCGAACGGAATCCAAACAGTTCATGGCTAAATAGTCGTGGTGTTTGGCTAACATATATAATTCTTGTTTTTGTTCTACATTTTATTTTACTTAGTATACCTTATATAACAACCCCTGTTGCATGGACTTTAACAACAAGTATTCATAATATTGTATGTCGAATAAAAAAGTGAATTTTATTTCTATTGAAATGAATTGTTTTCTCTTTTTTTTTGTAGTGTAGTTTTTATTTATTTCATTTAATCAAAGGTGCTCCATGGGAAACAAGTGATCAAGGTGCAGCACGTCGTTTTACATTTTGGGAACAAATTGATAATGGTGTTCAATGGACGGGTACAAGAAAATTTCTTCAAATTGTTCCAGTTGTTTTGTAAGTTATTTTATTGCTAATTAATTCTTACAAATAATTTTTTTTTGCTATTAGATTTTTCATTGCTAGTTTCTATACAAAATATGACAAAACACATTTTATAATTAACTTAGCAACAATGCTTCTTGCTGTTATTCCAAAATTTCCGATTTTTTTTGGTGTACGTTTATTTGATATAAATCGTTATTAACCAAGCAGAAGAAAAAATATCAATCATAGAAGATATCTCATTTTGTGTGCATATTTTTCAGTTGATTTCTGTTTGGTTTTTTGTTAGACAGAAAAAGAAGTGTGTATGTTTATATGATTTTGATTGTCTTTTCTTGTTTCTTTATTGATCTTTAAAAGACGAAAGAAGGAAAAAAAAAACGTGAAAGAATAAAATTCTGACCTTGTGTAACATATGTTTGTCTTCATGAATATTTATCATTGATATTTAATAAAAGAAAATGAATGATTTAGTTTGACAAACTTATAAGTTTCAATGAAGAATTTTTTGAGATTAACAATTATAATGTCATGTGTCTATATATAAAAATTTAGCGCGTGTATTTTTTTATCTTACAAAGTGTTAAAGATCAAATCATCTCTCTTACATGCGAAATTGAGATTTTATGAATAAGTTATGAGAAATATTTCAACATGGTTTTGTTTAAAAATAGCTTTTCTTATCTTTTGTTTTTCAAAATATGAATACAATCAAATACTAAGATTTTATTGTGCATGCACTATTATTTTTCTCTCTCCGAAAAAAATGGTGCCTATTGAATTTATTCGAATTCATACTTTGAATCAGATTATAATCGTAATGTTTATAACACTTTCATCTGAATGATCTTATTCAATGGTTAACATGACATCGTTGATGCAATCTAATATTATATACAAGAAAATCTTTCTCGTATATCAGTTTACATACGAGAGTAAACTATTTTTCTGCAAGATTAGATGTGAATGGTATTAGTTAGATAGAAGAAAAGATAAACAAATGATAGATTTTCATATGTATTTAATAATCAATTTGGTTTTTTTTATCACATAATTATTGATAATCGAACATTCGATCATAAATAAATTTATTATCTACTAAATATTGTTTCATCTGAAAGATAGAAGTAATTTGTTTGTATTTATTTGATGTTAATGTGTAGAAAATTGAATAATCAGAAAAAGATTTTTTACTGGTTTTATGTTATGTATATACAAGAAAAGAATTTAGTCATTTTTTCGCATAGTAATAGTAGTAGGATTGATTTTTCTGTTCGTGTCATCTGACAATGAACACGTGCTGAAGAGGATAATGAGAAAATTGAATAATAGACTCTCCATCGTTGTTTAAGAACATTTTGGATTTCTTTTGTTAAGTATTATAGTAACTGACATTGTTGGTATCATAAGTAAAAATAAATAAGAAGCTGTTGGTAAAGATTCGATCTTACTTGATACAATAACATATAGAGACAATAGAATTCCATCAAATAAAAAAATACTAAAAAGTATAAAAATATTTCGACCTAATTCAGCATCACGTTTTCTACTACGTGATGATTGTCGAGTATGTAATGATGAATTTCGAACATAATAATAGATTATAATATAGAGAATAATAATTGTTAAAGTTGGAATAATATAAATAAATGCAACAAAACATAATTTAAATTGACGAAAAGTAATATTAGTTGTGATCAGAGATGATAATAGAAGTAAAATTTGAAATAATATTACATATACATGACATTTTATAGTTAATAAATATTTATATTTATATAATACTGTTCAGAATACACGAGATATAGTTCGAATAACATTTCCAATAAGTATATTTTTAGGTATTATAGTTATATCTATTGACATTTTAGAAGTTAATCGTAAAACTCACAATTATTATGTGAACAGAAAAAATCTTTTTTTAATGACAATTCATATTCATTATTATGTGGCAACATTGACGTCTGTCAAGCATAATGTTTATTTTTCTGTTCCTGTTTTGAAGATGCTGTGATTTGTATCAGTCATCTTAGCATTTTTTATTTTGTAATATAGGTTAATATTGTGATTGCGTATCCTATTAAGTTTGATCTCTGTCATTTTTATTCAAATTTACTAAATAACTGCAATTATCATTCGTTCTACTTCTTTATTTCTAACGTAATCTTCAACACTCTTGACAAGTACCTTCATTAGCTAAAAGTTTCACTCCAAAATAACTGTTTTCTCAATATCAAGATTTCACTGTACATTGATCATTACCTTATAAATATGTAACATTCTCTTTATTACTCTATTAGATTATAATAATATAAATACAAGACTACACTGTATATTTAAGTTGTTAAAAAATCAAACTCTAACATGAAATTGATATCATCTTAAATAATTTTAACAGTGATTTTTTTCCCTACTGGTATGTTGCTTTCATCTTTTCTTGTTAACTCATACATTATGTAGTTTTATCTTTTTCTGACCAATTTGTTTTTCACTCCTCGCGTCTACTTTTTTCTTTTGAAGTTAATGTACACTATGCGGATATAGGCATCGATTAGGTTTAAATACAAGGAAGAGGAAGAAGAAGAAGAAGACAAAGGTGGCATTTTTATTCTTGTCAAATGTCACGCTCGTCAGCTGTCATCGGCTAAAATCGAAATGTTTTGTTCTTTTTCTTTTTCCTTCTAATCATGTATTTAGTATGTCGCTTAAAAGTTCAATTGAACTATTTGTCAAAAGCTTAGAACACCATCGTTTATACAATCAATCAAGCAATACATCTTTAAAGACAAACATGAAACATACGCATGTCAATCGACGATAATCGTATCAAATCGATGCTTTTTCTTTCTTTCTTATCTTTTTCTTCCGTACGCTTGATTGCTAGTCAGTTGACTTGAGGGCGTGTTCTACTTCTTTCAACATCAGAGAGGTGGAGATCAGCACCTCATTTTTCTTAACAAACATCAATAATAAAATCATTGAATGACCGCACTTTTGTCACATCATCAGGAGAAGAGAACACAAAAAGAGTCACTATATATATAGTAGTGAGACAACATAGTTTCTCTATCATTCAACATGATATCAACTCCAATATCTTGTACATCTGACTATTATTCAGGTAGTGATTTCGATTATGATGATGATGTAGTTAAAGCTGCTCCACAACATCATTGTTCATTAAATGATACAAATATTATTCTTCAAACACTTATTCAAAATCAATATCAACAATCATCATCAAATATTTCTTCGACAAATAAAATTCAACAATCAATTCAATTACTCAAGGTAACAACAATCAAATTCATATTGTTTCATTATATTTTTTATTTTTTCTCTCAACAGTTAGTACAAGAATATGATTTATCTAATGAAATCTTCATTCGTGCTAATGCTATTCTTCATAAATTTCTTCTTTCAACAAAATGTGTCAATAATATCGATGTGTCAATTCTTATTGCCTGTTTATCTTTATCAACAAAACTAAGTCAACATTCTACTCATTCAAGTATACCACTTTTCAATAGCGATTCATTAATTGTAAGAATTTTATTAATTTTCCTTTTTCCTTCTCTATTGTAAATATTTAGTTGAATGAAAATATGATATGCAATGCACTTGAATGGGATATTGATATGATAACACCTATTAATTATATCGAAGCAATGCTATTACATGTCACGGATAGTTCAATAAAAGCTCGTGTACGAGAATTAACTTATGAATTAATTGTATTATGTTTAACTGGTAAGAAAATTTTTTTTTGTTCGTCCTATTTCTATAATAATAATTTCTTATGTCTTAGATGTTCGTTGTATAGATTTATCTAGTGATTCATTAGCAATGAGTTGTTTATTAATGACGAGTGAATTATTAGATTGTTGTGAAATAATTCCAAAACAAATATTTTTATATATACAAGATAAAAATTCTTTATTTGAGGTAAATTAATTTAGTTAATCTTTTTCAAAATTTTTATTCAATTAATTTTAGACATCATTGATATTTATTCGTCAAATTCTTGTAAATATTCTTCAGAAATAACTCATCGAAAAAATGAATAATAATGAACAGTTATTATAATGTATATTTATATCTCAGATGTTTATTTATTTGTATTAAACTATTTTATATTTCAATAAAAAAGTAAAAATGATATTATCTTCTCCTATCGTTTCATCATGTATGAAATTCTATATATATATATATAACAAAAAGATATTCAACTCATAGTGAATCTTTATTACACAAATAATATTCGAAAAAGAAAAGATGAAAGACTATTTTTATCTCATTTCATTTGCATGATTATCATTTCCAGCCTCCAGTACGTCACGTATATAACCAAAAACACAGAGTTGATCGTCCAGTACTTGTTTATTAATAATAGTTATTGATTCATTAACAGATTGTTGATGGTGATATAATAACATAAGTTCATATAAATGCCAAAGAGATGGATTTGTATAAAGTTGTAATTCTTTTGCTTGTTGTGGTAAACATGTTGTTGGTTGTAATTGTAATGAAAAAAGTATTAAAATTTTAACGAATTTTATTGAAAGTTGAAATATTCGTTGTTTTATTATTGGTTTTATAATATGAAAAAGAAAACGTGATAAACATTGACCAAATGATATAAATAATGTTAACCAACATAAACCTGGACATTGACCATTATCAAGTTCCATTTTATGAAAATTTTCATTATCATAAATAAATAATTGAAGACGATAAATTAAAAAAAGAAATTTAATATATTCATCTAAATTTTCATTTTTATCAAGATAAATAAGTGAATCAAGATGTGTTATAAGAACTGAACATAAACAACGTTGAGATGATGATCTTTCATCTGTTATTGATACGCCACATAACCAATTAGGTTCATCAGGTGATGCATCAAGTATTGATAATAATATTGCAGTTAAATATTCATATGGATTCATATATTGTTGTTGATCAAGAAGAGATATAAGAAAAGAACAAAAAGCTTTACGTCTTTCAGATTCATGTGTTGGACGAGTTTTAAAATGAAATGTATAAAGTTTTAAAATACGATTAAATAGAGCAAATGGATATTTATTTATTGTTGAATGTGAAAGAAAATATTTAAGCATTGTTAAACATTGACCTTTAGCCGTATAATAAGCAGTATGATGATCGGCTGAACATGGTAATGAAATTTGACTACTATCCGTAGTGGTTCGTTGAGATGAACCATCATCCATCGGCTCAGCTTCCTAAAAACAAAATACATGTTATCGTACTAATAGAACACATTGGATTCAATCTTTTGAGATATAAATAAAGTCTATTACATACTTGTTGTTTTTTAATAGTTGATGTATTTTCTTGTTTATTTAATGATTCAGTTGATTTAACAGTATTTAATAGAAAATGTGAACAAGCATCAAGTACTAACATCAATTGATCAGAAGTTAAGTTTTGTGATTGTTGTTGCTGTTGTTGTTGTTGATCATTATTATTTGTTGTTATACGATTTCGTTGATTATTAAATAGATGTAATGTATTATAAATCATTTGATAAAATGCTGTCATTGTTATTAAATCAATTCCAATTGTTAAATCTTGTTGTTTTAATTTAATTGATATTGAATTATGTTGATGAAAAAATATTAAATCAACTAATGTTTGCCAAATATGTTGAGTTATTGATTGTGGTCGAATACGTTCAAGTATAATTTGTAAACTTGATATAGGCATTGTTGATGAATCAATTGTACGTGTACGTAATAATTCATAAGCTGAAAATTGTGTTAATTGAGTTTTAAGAAGACGAGAATGATTTAATGTTAAATTTGTTGGTTGATGTTGTGGACTATTGATTTGTGGTTTATCAGTACGAAGACGTGTTACTTCACGTAAAAGACGATTACTTGTTTCTTGACTTTCATGAAAACGTGTTTCAAGTGCATGATAACGTGTTTGTAATTCACTACGTTCACGTTCATTAAATGTTAATTGAGATTTACATGTGTCAAGTTGAATTTTAACTCGTTGTTCACGAGCACTTGCTGCTTCATCTTGTTCAGTTTTTAAAAGACATTTTTCTCGTGTACTTAAACAAAAAAAGTAAATCATATCGACTTCTTCACTTATTATTTTACTTACAGTCGAGCATTTTTTTCAGTTAATAATCGATTATTTTTTTCAAGAATAATTATTTGACCTTCTTTCATTAATAATTTTCGTTCAAGTTCAAGTTCTTTATTAACATTTTGTGTTCGATTTCCTTCTGATGCTAATGGTTGTAAGACAGTTTGAGTTGAAAATACTGGTACTTGAAAATTTGATCGAGATGGATTTTGACTTGAAGGTAGTGCTTGATAACAATCATGATTTGTTTGTTGTTCAACTTGTGTGGCAGAAAATAATAATTCATCATCAGTCATTTCGAAATCATCCATCATGGATGATGCACCTGCTGTTGGTATTCCTCCTCCAGCATTAGATTCATCCTGATTTTCATCAGTACGAAGTCGTTTTATCGGTGGATACATTTTTCGTTTGATAAAATGGATCAAAGTTTTAAAAACGAACAATTCATTTCTTAACGAATCAAAATCATCTGTGGACTCTCGATATTGACTAATTAGATAATATCTCGGAAAAATTATAGTTAATTAAACTTTATTAGAGAAAAATGAAGTATAAGTTAAAACTTGAGTTTTATTTAAACATTTACAATGTATATATATGTTGCAATTCAAACCATATTCTTCTGGCATCTATTGACAAAAATATATATCTATAATATAATTTCGCGGGATTCTATGGCCTTTTATTATCTATGAATGTTTTTTTACTTTCTTTTCCTTGACGTTTATAATCATAATAATGATAAGTTTATATTTTTTTCGTTTTATTATTGCCATTTCAATAGATTAGTTATATATCATTGTTTAGAATACCATTTTTGAAACCAAATATGAATAGATCGTTGAATAATATCTTAAACGAATATTCTCTCCTTGACATTTCTCGATTTAAATAAATAGTCTAGTGTAATTTTGTTATCTTATATTAATAATCATACATAAATACAACCTGCAGTTATTATAAATCTTCTCTTTTCAACTAAAAGAAAAATATTTTGATCTTATAAATGGCTACAGCTGAAGTAGCTCCACCTGAAGTAAGTTTATACTTAAATTATTTTAATTATTAACACTTTACTTGTTATAATATGTAGCGTAAGCAATGGTCGAATCCTGTTGAATTCTTTTTAACATTAGTCGCATTTGGTCAGTAGGAAAATTTTTCTTATAAATGAAAGTTTTATTTTGATGTTTTTTGAAAAATTGATTTTAGCTGTTGGCTTAGGAAATGTTTGGCGTTTTCCATATCTTTGTTTCAAGAATGGAGGAGGTGAATACAATTAAATTAAATTCTTTTTATGTATATATTTCATACTTTAGGTGCATTTCTTATACCATACACGTTAATGCTTATTTTCATTGGTGCACCTGTCTTTTATCTTGAATTAACATTGGGACAATTTACTAGTTCTGGCCCACTTGCAGTTTGGAAAGTGAATCCATTATTACGAGGTATTTAAAGAATTAAATAAAAACGAAGACAAAAGACCAGCTTAAATGAAATTATAATATTTATAAACTTGATTTTTCTTCCAAATATTATTGTTTTATATTATTCTAGGTATTGGTTATGCATCATTAGCAACGAATTGTTTCTTAGCTCTCTATTATAATGTATTGATTGCGTATTGTTTTTATTATTTGGTTGCATCATTTCAAATGATTGTTCCTTGGTCAACATGTGGGAATTGGTGGAATACAGCTTTGTGTACTGATCAAGCAACATTAGCAAATCTATCTCGAACTGATCTGGCTTTAATGAAAAGTAAGTTGTTGTTGTTTTTTTTCTTCGATTGATTATTTCAAGTGAATATCTTTAGATATGACAAGTTCACCAAGTGAAGAATATTTTTAGTATAATTTTTTTCTATCTTTGCTCTTCTATGAATATGTTCCTTTTGATTTTAGTCGTCGAGTACTTCAAATAAGTAGTGGAGTAGACAATGTTGATGGCATTGTTACTCATTTAGTTGTTGCATTAGCAGTTGCCTGGCTTATTTGTTTCTTAGCATTATCTAAAGGTGTTCAATCATTAGGCAAAGTAAAATCTATATTATTTTTTTATTCGAATGAACAGGAAAAGAAATGATTTGTTTTTTTTTGAATTTAAATAGATCGCATATTTTACTGCTTTATTTCCTTATGTAATGTTAACTGTTTTAATTATTCGTGGAGCAACATTAAGTGGTGCTATCGAAGGTGTTAAATTCTATATGGGTACGGTCAATTTAACTGTACTTAAAAGTCCATCTGTAAGTTCTAATAGATATTTAACAAAAAAAAAGCAAACTTTTTTTCTTTTAAAATTTAGGTATGGAAAGAAGCTTGTACACAAGTTTTCTATGCATTGAGTTGTTGTAGTGGTGGTCTTATTGCAATGGCATCATTCAATGATTTCAATAATAATGTTTATCGGTAGAATAATATTTTTATATGAATTAAAATTTTAATTGCTTGTTTTTCTATTAAGTGATACAATTTCTATTTGTTTGGTCACATGGTTCACAAGTATATTTGGTGGATTTGCAATTTTTACTGTTCTCGGTATTGTATTGATTATAGAAAATTGATAAATAGATTTATTTAATTTTAAGGTCACATGGCAACTAAAATGGGTGTAAGTGTGGCTGATGTGGCCAAAGGAGGTTAACTAAACAATCTTGATCTATTATTTCATATTTAATTCATTTCGTTCTTTTAAGGTCCTGGTTTGGCATTTGTTGTTTTTCCTGAAGGTTTATCAATGATGCCATTTGCACCATTATGGTGTGTTCTCTTTTTTCTAATGATGTGCACACTTGGTTTCGGTTCTGAAGTTAGTTAAATATAAGTTCATCTTGTTGTTATTTTCGACATTCTTTTATAATCTAGTTTTCTATTATGGAAACTGTCATGGCTAGTATAATAGATGAATTTAAAACATATTTAAATACACCGAAAAAAATCATTATCTTTCGATTTACTATATCATTTGTATTTTTTCTACTTGGTTTATCTATGGTTACTCGCGTATGTTTATTTAATCTAAAGAAGAAAATTTTTAGTTTTTTATTATTTATATTAGGGTGGTTTATATGTATTAAATATAATTGATCAATATCTTGGTGGTTTTCCTTGGTTAATCATAGGTGTTGTTGAATTATATTGTATTGGATGGGTTTATGGTAATGAGAATATTTTTTTTTTTTTTTTCTAACTATTTTATATTGGTTATTTATTAGGCGTTGATAATTTTTGTGATGATATTGCTTTAATGTTAGGTGAAGAACGACGTCCTGGTAAATTCTGGAAAATCTGTTGGAAATATATTTCTCCACTTATTCTTATTGTAATTATCTTTTCTTTTTCGGATTTAATGATACATGAAATTCTTGACACATATGTTTATATTTGTTTTTCTTTCCAGTTTACAATTCTCTTTTCGTCTCTATTCTACCAAGAAGTAACACTTGATGATTATACATATCCATCATGGGCGCTTACACTTGGCTGGCTTGTAGTTATATTATGTCTTGGCTGGATACCCTATATTTTTCTAGCTGAAATCTGTGGCCGTGGAACATGGGGTGTATGTTATGAATGTTTTGAATATTTTCTGCTTGAAATCTTCTTTATATTTTCTTAGATCATTAAAGAAGCTCGTTTGCCACATGTTGAATGGGGTCCAGCACGTGATGAACATCGTCAATTATCAATTCGTTATGCAAATACTGTTGATCCGAAAAAACTCAGTATGCAAACTTTATCGACAATTGATACTGGCGATTCATATGATTTGGATAGAGCAGCAATTGAAATAATTGCAGCAAGTCCAAAATTATTTGTCAAGAGACTTTCAGACGTATCTAGTGCAAGATTTTGATATTTTATTTAAAAAACAACCGTTTTCTGAATTAATACAAGTAGATTTTTATTTTTTTCTCACAGTGAAACAAAAAAATAAAATAACACGAAAAAAAAATAGAAAATGAAAGTGATAAAAGTAAAAGAAAAATTATATATGAATAAGGTTTTGTTTCTTGCTCTTTCAACCAAGACAAGCAGCTTGAGTAGCATAGAATTCGTCCAAGCTAGCACAAAAACGTTCTGCAAGAAGAAGAACAAAAAGCAATAAAATACGAATTAAATATGAGATAAATATATTTCTTTTCATTAGGAAACAAAATTTTATGAAATTGAGATTCTCATTCTCCCTTCTATAAACACATACATATATACCAAATTCATCCAAACTTTCTTTAAGCGAAATTAAAGTGAGTAAAAAAACAGCAATAAAATAGTTAGAGAAAACAGAAACCCACACACACACAGTTATATGATTAATATTGCATTATAAAAAAAACTATCACCTGTTCGACATAGATATTGCAAAGAGTACAGGTGTATAGGTACAAAGTTAAATAAAGGTATGATTTATCATTACATATGATCATGCCTTGATATATTATTCATTAGTTATAAGTAATAAAATATGTTAAAATTGATGAGTATGTACCATCGTTAATAAACGGTATGGAGTAAAATAAGTAAATGTAAACACACAGAGATTAAGAAGAAACAAACAAGAAAAAAAGACAATTCAATAGAATATTATAAAAAAAAAAAAGGAAGAGGAAACCGGTGATATAAGTGTATAAATGCGTAGTGATCGTGATGTTGGTACTGATGCGATTTTAGCCGCATGCTGCCCAATTGGAATTCATTAGATCTTCATACGAGTTACAGTAGGTTTTGAAACGTTCTAGAATAATACATTATCATTTATGTTATGTTTTCTATTAGTATGGTAAAATCAAATAAACACTCATTACTTAATGATGTCAATCAATTATTTCTTATTTATTAATAATTTACTGATAAGAATCAGCATATGGATCTTTCGTTTAACGAAAAAAATGTTTTTCATAACTAGGAGAAGAGGTACGTGCGAGTGCGTTTAACAAGCTTTGTGTATATATAAAAGTAAGTAAGAGATAAATTAAAAATCGATATGTGTAATAAAAATAAAGAAATACAATAGATCATTCATACAAAATCAGACATGTTAAATTATATAGAAATCATGCATCTAAGCGCACAATAAAGCAATATATAATACATGCATTAACAAGAAATGTTAGTAAAAACGAAGCACGTGACGTTGTTGATCATAAAAATAGCAACATCCATGCATAAATTAGATGAAGAGAATAGAATTATTTGTCAATTGTACGTCGATTTCTTTGTAAAATATCCTGAATACTATAGTTAGTAAAGCGTTCTAAATAATAAAGCATATTGAAAAAAGAAATATTAGTCAGTTAGTAAACATGCCAAAATGCAATTGAAGGGATAATTATAATAATTTATATGTATATGAAAAGACGAGAATATTCTATAGAAAATTGACTGGCAGGCAAAAAACGAAACTCTTACTTTTAACTTCTTCGAATCGATTTGGGTTTGGGTCAGACATTGATCGAAGATATTCTCGAATCTAAATAGAATAAGAAAGAGAAAAATGAAGATGAGTTTTGAACAAAAAAATTTTCAAATTTATTTACTAATTCTCGTTTAACAAAGTCTTGTTGTTCGCGTTTTGCAGCACGTTGTTCAGCATTGGATGTTAAAAGGAAATGACGTAATTTATTGTAATCATACGATCGACGTTGTTCTTGTACATCATCATCACTATCATCAGCAGTCATATCTTTCATATGAAGACTATCTGAGGATGCCGCACGAGTATATGTCATTGTTGACATGAAAATAATTGCAATTAACAAAATGCCAAATTGTGTAGATAAGACAAAGAATTTCGTCATTTTACTTGTTTACTGTTCGGTGAAAAAAATACTTGAAAGATGTTGAAAATATGTGTGGGTGCCGAGAAAAGCAATCTAGAACAAAAAAGTATGAGTATGTCTTATTTACACCTGACAACGAGGAAAAAAATTTTATGCAATACTCAATGAAGGAGAAAAACACCCGAAACATTGGCATACAATAAGAAATAGAAATCTTGCCAATATTATTCATATAGGTGAAGTAGACTTCAGTAGATGTTCTCTTGGTGTATTATATATATACATATATATTTAGAGTTTTTTTTTCGAGAGAAAAAAAAAGAGAAACAGAAATTGTCGTCATACAAAAAAGAAGAGAACGGCGTCACAGAACACACAAACATACAATTCTTTTTTCTCTTGTTCATTGAAGCTTGTACAAATTGTTTTCATTACCAAGACACTCAATAAACAGAATTGACAACAAAAAACTACCCACGTCTCATTTGCATCATACCTTATAAAATAATTGTATATAATACGTATATACGAAGTGGGTGATCCAGTAATTCAAACTGACTAATAATCTTTGTCTGATAAATTCTATGTGACAAGTGAAAAAATATTTTGTATAATAGAAAATCCTTATTGAGTATGACATCATGATTCATTGACGTCAATTCATCGATCAATATATCGTTTTGTATGATATCTGAGAACATAACTAAACGCAGTTAGTCACACTTATGTGTGTCCTTTTTCTCGTAAAAGGACAAATACATTATATATGTTCTCTTATACGTCATTAATAATACTTTATAGTATAACAAAATATCGTATAGGTAAGATCTGAATTATATGATCGAAAAAGAACTTAAATCATATTTAGTTTTTCTTTTATGATCTTATTTATATTTTGAATTACGTTTGAAAATTCATTTTCATTTTGATAATGAGAGTTGAAATTTGTTGTTATTAAATGAGATACACCATTTTGATTAATTATTGCTGGAATTGAAAGAAAAAGATCAGTTTTAACATCATAATAACCCTTAATATTAACAGTAACTGTATGAATTTCACGTTTATTTCGAAGAATACATTCAACAAGTTCACTTGATGCCATTGATATTGACCAAACTTCAGTTCCTTTAAAAACAACAATAAAAAAAACAAAAGAATCTCTTCTATAAACCTTTAATCTTATTAATTTCTTCTTGTCGTTGATTAACATTCATATGTAATTGATTCCAATTTTCTTTATCATTTAAAGTTCCTATTGATGAATTTTCTGAAAGTAAATGAATACCACCCACAGTTATTGAATTCCATAATGGAATATTATTATGTCCATGTCCACCAATCATAATGCCAGTTATACTTGCTGGTGATATATTTAATTTTTCTCCAATTAATAATCTATGTAAACTAAATTTTATTAGAAAATATTAAAATACAACAAAATATTTCAACCTAAAATGAGCAGAATCAATCATTGTTCCCGGTGCCATAATACGATATGATGGTAGCATACTATTAGAAGCACATAATTGTGTCATGACTTCAAATGGTTGTATTCCAATGATCATGATACAATCTGGTGCTGAAACATGAGTATTAATTTCTATTTGATTATTGTAACAGATATTACTATAAGATTTCCCTGTTGTAAATACTTTCTGTTAATCTCATATATAAATAGTATTTAACTTGAGTCATAAGTCCTTCTCTTTATTCTGTATACAAGAATGAAGGCATAATATATATATATATACCCATTCAACATACTCTATATTGAGAGCAAGTGATTAAATACAAAAGATATTAAGTCTAGTATAGAAAAAAATCACTGTACACATGAATGAGCTTAACTATGTTTCGGATATTTGTCATCAATGAGTACTTTCATTATATTAAGTAAATATCATATATTTTTGATTCATATGAAATGTGAAAAGTTCATTTTCATATCATATATCAATAAAAACAAAAGTTAATATATAGAAAAGTTTATTGATCTGCAATATTCACGTATGTTTGATGATGTGGGAGGAAACTTTAAGTTAATGGCAACATTTTATTAAAAATTTAATATTCATGAGAGTAGGCGACGAAAAATTTGAAAAATCATATAAAAAATATGATTAATCTTATAGATGATTGTTGTTGTTAGTAATTTTTAATTAAAATCGAATATTAATGTTTGACTTTCAGTTTATACAAAGCAGTAAAATATGGTTTCTTCTAGATGTATTTTTTTAACTACGAAAAATTGAGTTTTTTTTATCTAGAAGTAAACAAAATTCTCAAAGTACTTTTAATTGTGTTCGAAACTCAAGTATTCTAAATGTTTGATGGAATTTTTTTTTCGATATATTGACGTAGTGTATAAGTATATTATTACATTTGCAAAAATGAAATATAACTAATAATAACATTGTAAGAGTATCGAATACATTTTCATAATCTCATATAAGATTGTAGAGAAATCAATATTTTTAATTATACCCGTTTTTTACCTACCATAGGAACTAATAGTTCGTGATAATGTTTTCAAATTAGATAAGATTTTCTCATTTGGAAAAGATGATTGAGTAATATTTTGATTCTTTCGTTCTTCATCATCATCATCATCATTGGCATCACAGAGAATAACAATACGAGCACCTTCACATGATGCCAATTGAGTACTTGCTTGTATATTAACACCTGAAACAAATGTTGTACAAGTACTTAAATCAGCATATTCAGCTAAAATGAATTCAATTTAAAATGTATCCTATGTACAAAAACAAATCTATTTATACCAGCTAATCGTTTTTCATTTCGATCTATAATAATAACATCAGTCACAACTTGTTTACAAATAAGTAAAAAAGCGGTGGCTGATCCTAATTCATTCATTCCAATAATAGCAACTTTGTATGGAGTTGGACCAATATCTAATGATTCATCGATCATATTAATTTTTAAAGTATTTTTCAGTTCTGTAGCCAAATCATTTTCAACTATTGTTTCTTTTTGTATGGAGCTAATATCTTTCTCTTCATTTGTATTAAATTCTTCTTCAGTAATCTCATACTCACTCATGTTACTAAACTAATAACAGATGATATGATTTGAAATATAAGAATAACGCGCCAAAAGTTTGATACACTATGCAAATCATCGTACTTTTTCTATATATCTCTCAAGTAGATATCCATTTGAATAGAAAAAGAAACTTTCTTGTTTTATCATCTTACTTTAGAATCTCAATGCTATACAAATCAATAATCAAGAAAAAAAATATTTCACTAATCTTATCAAACGAGATGTCTATAGTTCTTCTATTCAAAGTAATATTTAAATAAACTATAAAAAAGTAAAAAAATGTTATCGTAGATCTCAATTGTTTTACAAAAACATATGAGAATGATGATGATACTATTATTTTTAATACACCAAATTTTACATTTATTGATTCTTTATTATCTGTAATTTCAATAAATAAATCTAAATCATCTGTTCGTGATCATACAATATGGTTAATACATCAGATAACTTCAAATAAATATCAAGAAATTGCACGATATGATTCAATTAGAAAACAATTTCTTATAAATTCGAATGAAAATTTTTCATCTACCATTGATAAAAATACTGGTCAATTAACAGTAATTAATACTCAGAATAAAAATCTTATTTATACAGAAATAATTATGCATGCACAATCAGGTTTAAGTAAAGATGATGATATTTTACATGATATTTATCGTTTTATTCGTCTTTCAACTTCATCACGTAAGACATTTCTATTGATATAATTAATTTCTTTTTTTTTCTTAAATCAATAGTTAATTGTACAACAAATATTACAATTAATGTTGATGAATCAATTGAAATTCAATGTACAATTGAATATGAATTTATTAAATATGAGGATTTAGATAATTATCAACCGAGAATTAATTTTACATTTTATTTAAAACAAAATGATTCATTTTATACAGCTGTTAATCAAGAATATTTGAATGAAATCAATGATATACAAATAGATGATAATGCAACATGGATTTGGAAACGTTCAATTAGTTATACAGTTAGATTGATGAATAAAGAAGAAAATTATAGAGAATATGCTTGTATTATCGTACCTGATACATTAAAAATTGTAGATATATTTCAAGACGATAATCGAATATGTCGTACGAAAATTGATATCCAAAGTAATATTCTATTAAAATAGAAAAATATGAAAAAAAATTCTATTTATTTTAATTCAGATAATGATTCTTCAATAATAACATTTCCACAATTAAGTAAATAAGAAACGTTTTTCTCTATTTTTTTCAAAGAATTGATTTCAATATTAATAGATCAATGGAATTTAATCGATATAATAATAATTATTTTAATTCTAATCAGTAGTCTCTTACTTATCGTATCACTAATTCTTTGTATACTAGCACGAAAATACAATAAAAAACGTACAATTCAGATAAAACCAGAAAGTAAGTTATTAATTAAATATTTAAAATATAGAGTGATCTAAAACTTTCCAGAATTGCACTACATCTGTTTATAGAAACGACATTCTACGAATCTTTGTATATCATATAAAATCAATTTACGTCTTAGACATACTTTCTAAGATCCAGAAAAATTTCGAAATTCCGGCAATAACTAAGGAGGTCAATTCGATATGTACTGTTTACTTTTGAAAGAATGAAATCTCGCTTATGGAATATCTAGCATAGGACAGCGTTTCTATAAACAGATATAGTACAGTTCCCGAGAATTTTTGCATATCACCCTATAAATTAAGTTTTAGATAAAACAATAACATTACCATATGAAACAAAGCAAACATTTTCCAAAGAGAATCTATTTTCAAATAATAATGAAATGAAATCTGAACCTTCTTTAAAAACTCTTTCACCTCAACAACATAAACCAGGTTGTCCAAGATATATTCCATCACCTGAATCTAATCTTCTTTCAAGTGATTTATTTACTCATACAACGATTGATAATATCAAAAAAATGTAAGGATATTTATATTTTAAATCTGAACTAAATATTTATTTTAGAATTCTTCCTGATATTCCTCAAACAAATGATCTATTTGATGATCAAACTTATATTCATTTTTATATACCATCAAATAATGAGAATCTATCAATGAAAAAACTTCATTCATCATTGTTCGAAAAAAGCCAATCTACTCATTAATTTTTCTTCTCTCGATTGAAATGAAAGACATAAGTGAGGATTTGTATGTATATATACATTTTTTTTAAAACAAGAACGTTATCTATTATGTATCTACAAGAAATAAGAATGATTAAATAGACAAAAGCGAAAGCAATGGTGAATAAGATATATTATTGTTCGCATCGTCGATAAGTAATGGTAATGGATTATTAATGCTTAAGTCGAAAGCTGTTTGATTATTTGAGAAGATTTGTATGAGTCTATGATCATAATCATTAATATCGATTGATACTGGCCAAGGCATGCTCTAAATAAAAATAAAAAAGTTACTATTAACATATTAAAGACGAAATTTCTATAAGATTCTGCAGGAGCGTAAATAGGGGGGACACGTGGGGCGCGGCGCCCCCCCCCCCCCCTTTCGAAAACTAGTAGAAAAAAAGGGGGTTGCGCCCCCCACCCCTACTTCTAGAAAGTTCACTTTTTTTGACCATTGAAATAGAAAAATTAGGGTTACGCCCCCTTGCACCCCCCTGCTCTGACACCTGACTTACGCCCCTGTATAAGATTATTGTCTGTATTCGCTAGATGATGAATATTTTTTTTCAATTCTACCTGCAATGGCTTGTTGCATACGACGACGTGCTCCAAAAGCTTCAATACCAATTTGAGTCAAATCATGATCCGTCATAGAAAGAAATGTGCAATAGTCAATCTAGATTTATTTTATTCATATGAATGAAATAAATAAATAAACCAATAGAAAAAAAACTTACCTCATTACGTTCAAATGTTGACCAATATTTTTCTAAATTTATTGAACGAAGTAATGTAAATAATTTTGTCGAACAATTATCTTGCGTTGGAAAAGCCAAAGTATCTAAAAATAGAAATAAGAATGAAATATATATATTTAATTATAATTTACTGTCAATTGATTCTAAATTATTGATATCAGTCGATTTTAATGATTGTTGAGTCGATGAATCGAAAACCAAAAGCTTAAATTAACAAGATAAAACAAAAAATCTTTAAAACTTTAATTAATTTACCGATGGAATTTGATCATTATTCGTTGGCCAAATGACAGTATCTTGATCAATATCTAAAAATCAAATATTTATATATATTAAAGGTCAATGAAATTTTTGCTTACTTCGTGATGATGATGAACGTTCATGACCAATTGGTGATGGTTTTTTTGTAGTACTTGTTTCAACTCTAAAATCAATAAATGTATTTAACAAGAAAAAAAAAAGTTTCGAAAATTATTTACAATGGTACAAGTACAGTATCAATTTGTTGTGCTGATGGTATATAACAAGGTTCAATTGGAATTAATATACTATCTGTCATATGATTTGTCGAAGGTGATGTAAGTATTAATGATGAAGATCCAGATGGTACTAAATACAATACTTTTGAATATTAGATTATTTAGAAAAAAAAAAAAAAACTTACAAGAGAGATCAGATAAAAATGTCGATGTTTGATCTATGAATGAAAAATAAATAAATAAATTCGATTTTGAATATTTTTGTTTAAACTTACTCAAATCGAATAAACCAGTGGTATGTATTGGTAAAATATGATTATTATTTGGTTCTGGTAAACCAAGAATAATAGCACGAGCTCGAAATAATTGATCACAATTGTATTCTTGTGATTGAACAGTAACTAACTATAATTTTAATTTTCAAAAAAAATGTAAAAAATAAAAGAGAAATAATTTACTTTGCCAATTTTATCTTTACGTGTTCGAACAGTTGTTGTTACATTAAGTTTATCTTTAATATGAGCTATTTGAGCTTCAAAAAAAATAATAAGAATAGAATGAGTTTAATAGAATAAAGTTTTTTCATACCACGAGTCGGTTCTTTATCAATTGGTATTTCAAATGTCAATATAATTGGTAAACAAAGCTAAGAAAAAAATTATATTTAAATTGAAATAAAAACAAAAAAAAGTTTTTTATTTTACATCAAATAATTTTCGTGCTTGACAAACTTGTGTTGGAGATCCAGTTATTGTAACCGATGTCCGACGTCCATAATTATTTATATTATCTTGTGATATATTTGAATTAATCATTGTTGGAAATTGTATTGTTGTATGTGTATATTGTTCAATAGCAGCAATACACATATCTTTTGATTGTTGACGAGTTTGTAAATAAACATGATATTGTTCACTAACTTCTGTTTGACATGTTACTTTAATTAATGGAGCTTCGAAACCATAAAATGCTTGTATTAAATATTCAGTTGCTTCAGCTAAACCTGGTTGATTGATACTTTTAAAATAGAAAAATGAAATTATTATTATTATTAAATAATTTTATTTAAACTTACAGTCCACGAACAATACAATAAACATCACCAGTTTTAGCATACGGACGTGGTAAAACAATAACACCAAAACGTGTACGAACATTTTTAAATAATGGATAATCGTCATTTATAATATTAATTAATTGTGTTGGTGGTATAAGAAATTTTAATGACATTGGTAAAATTTCTCGTATACGTTTTCGAGCATCTTCAATTGATGATATTGTTCCTGTAATTGATACCTAATAAATAAATAAAAAATATTAATATCGATCGTGTCTTAAAATTTATTTATATACTTGATTAGATTTAGTTCCATTTGGTTCACGATTTCCATCAGGAAAATGAATATGAGTATCAGTTGCTGACATGATACTTTGAATTTGATTACCTTGCCGTCCAATACAATGTGCATGATCAGTAAATGGTATTTCAACTTTGAGTGTAGCTCGTTCCATATTTGTTGTTCGCATTGTTGGTAACTGAAATATATATCGAAAAATCTTTTCTATTTATATGAATGGAAAGTTTTAAAGTGTGACACATATTAGATTGACTAATCGGTTCGCTTCAAAAAAAAGTCGATTCTATCTTTGAAGTTATTATAATCACTATCCGAAACAAACGTACATTACTCTCTTCTTTTTCTTTGTTACAGACTAAACGAATCTTCTTATTCGCATATATATGTTGAGACGCCTTCATGTATAGATAGAAAAATTTCAATAATGGACCAACACTAATTTTTCTCGCCCTCTCTCTCTCTCTCTCTCTCTCTTTTTCTTCTCATATCATTTCTTGAAACAAATAAACAAAAGTGAATATGAAGAATGATACCACCGACATTATCATTATTCTTGCACGTTTCTTCTTATCATCATTCCATGTTTCGAAAAAGATACGATTCATCATTATGTCAAAGTTTTCTCTCTTTTTTTTTCGCTAGGACAACGAAAAAAAGACAAGAAAAATGAATTATTGAACATACCAAAAAACAACATGTACAACAATCATTATCGAATATTGAACAAGTATCAAACATTGAAAGGAATAAATATATATATCAAATTGAAACAAACGAACTAACTGATCATTTAGAATAGTAAACTTGTCTATGCTCTACTTTAATTCTCCGATTGTGTCATCATTAGAATAAGGATTATGATCGGTCATAAAAGTCATCAAGATCATTGCCATACATAAATACTCTTTCTTTCTCTTTTCGATCATGTCTATGTCTTTGCATAATTACATCCGACGACAATAACAAATAATATGAACGAACGACAATCATCAACAACGAATACAACAAAAAGAAAAACGCGTTATATAGTTATACATACGAATTCATTTTGTATTGATGAAGATGCAGCTGTAGAAAAACGACATCGTTTTGCTGGTTGATTCATATTCTCACTTTTCGTATATGTGATGTGCTTGAAAAGACAAAACAGGATAAAGAGAAGCTAACGAAAAATTTCCAGTATGCACATACCATACTAGCATACTAATGATGCCTGCACGCTCTAATCATTATCATCCATAGCTCCGTTTTTACAAAGTTTCATTGCTTGTACTTTTTTGTTATTCATATCGAAAGAATTTAGATTATTCATTGAGTTATCTTCGAAACTATTTTTTAAAAAAAACAGACGATATTACAGCTTATAGAAAAAAATACATTGTTGTCATCTTAGTTATCGAATAGATGACCTAATACTTAATCTTATATGAATTGATATAAAGAAAATATTTTTTCGATAACAAATGAGATGAGATATTTATCGATAAGTAGTTCTTTTTCGAAATTGTCTCATATATATGAAAGCAGATTTTATGATAGAAAAAATTATTGCACAATTTATACGTTATCTTTTTCTTCGAATAATAACAAATGACTGGAGAATTTGTTACACGTACATTGGCAGTGATGATACAAAATGATATCTTTTTATTCACCTACGTATCTATGTTACTAAGTAACATATCCAATTAACGACTTTTATGATTATTCTTCTAATTAGCTACTTGTCTGTTATATATATATATTTGTTAATCTTATCCATAAATAAACTTCATAGGTAATGATGAGCATATATATCGGAAGCTTTGATTAATTCGATGTGATCGATAGTTTTCATATTTGAGATAAATATTTCATGTACTTTTTTTGTGTACTCAAAAAATGAGTACACTACTAGAATCGGTCAGTGTGGCCGCCCGGCCGTATACACGATAACGTTTGAAAGAATACCCCGATTCAGCTGAAATTTTGTGCACAGAACTGTCTCATCAAGATCTTGGTCGAGTTCGAAGATGAACCTAATTGACCGGGCCATTCCCGAGTTATTGCAAAAATACTGATATTTTCATATACACTTTTTGCAGTACACATAACTCTCGGATAAAAATCCGAAGTTTCCACATTTATTTATAAATAAAAAATAATCCCAGTCTATTCTTTAGAATAAATTAATACTTAATATATATCCTTTAGAAATACAATATAATAGATGTATTTGTAATTATTTTTAAAATCAATACATATTGCAGATGTTTTTTGTATAAAAAAATTCACATAATTATTTTTTTGTTAATAGAAAAAATATTTTTTCAAAACTATTCGATTTCTGATAGATTGAATTGATTTATATCAACAGTTCTCCTTGAAAAATTATACGACATTTTAATAATTTATTAATTAACCAATAGTTATTCGATAACATTTATCTTATTAAATAAAAAAATTATAAATAAATCAGTTGATTAATTTTTATTCAAAGAACTATTCTGTTATTTTTACCCACGCATTTTTCTTTCTGCATACGTCTATGTAAGAAAGATGATCTTCTGACAGTCTTTCTGTCCTCTACAAAACAATCAGAAATTTGAAGCTGCCGGTTTCTTTCTTTTTTTTTATATAAAAAAAATCTTTCATGTCACACATAGTTTTTTCTTGTCTTTTCATCCACGACTAAGCATAAACAAATAACGTGCCAAGTAGATGATAATATATGTTAATGGATTTTTTTACAAATTCTTTATTTAATCCATCGCATCACACACGCACCTTTTTTTGGTTATTTGTGGTAACTGAAAACACGCACATCGATAATATAGATTTTTCATAAATGAGCAAAATTAAATAAATCGGTTTAATAATAAATTAAACAGAAAAAAAGGAAATATCTTCTAAATCGCATTTGAAAAATTAATTGTGTGTGCACATGTCAAAAAATTATCATAGATAATTAAGTCTTTATAAGTTTTCATGTGAGATAAATTCTTTGCTTATCAAGCTGGTATTCTACATGCATTTATGATATACTGAATTATCTGAGGAAAGAGGAAAAAGAAATGAAGATTTCTATGAAAAGAAAGGAGTGGATGGGAGAAATTAAAACTAACGAGTCTTCTTATGAAGCGTAAAAAGGAGAAGAAAAAAACTGAGCAAAAATGTCGGACTGAAAATAATCATTGTTGTTAGATACCAGCAAAAACAGAATATAATCGCGCAAGACGATGGCAACAAATACTCGGTGACGACGACAGAAGTGCTTTCAACAGTAGGTGTGTGTGTGTGTTCTTTCACATTAAATATGATGTTATCAAAATTAACTCTTCTAATTTTTCTTTTCAATATTATCTATATTGAACAAGGTATTTAAAACTTTTTCCAAAAATCGAATAAATTTTTAATCATTTTAATAGTTACAACTCAATGTTCCACTTACTTTCCCGATAGTAATGATACGGACTTCTGTTTTTATTATAAAAAAAATTCTTTCTCATGGTCTGATGCATACAATCAATGTATGACTAAAACAGTTGATGGATTACTTATTCAAATATTTTCGACTAAACAATTTAATTCATTGAAAAATGCCAATCTGGATGGATCATCTCTTATTTGGTTAGGTGCAAATAATTTTGCAACATGTAAGTTTCAATCTATACATATAAAATTTAGTAGAAGAAAATATATATTTTTTTCTTTTATTAAATATTTAGAATTTTTAATTACCGGGGAAAAATGATACTACAACTTTTTTTTTATTAATCTTATGAACTCTAAAAGAGATATTTTCATAAAATTATTCTTCTTTATTAAGATAGAATCATATTTAAAACAAAAGTAGACGTGAAGTATACATTGGAAATGTCAATTTTTTCTGCCATTTAAATTACGAAGTGACACATTAATTTAAGAAAAAAAAATACTGCGAACTTTTCTGTCCTACTATTTTCAATTTACTTGATAATTTCTTATTGTATTGAAAAAGGAGATATTTATCTATTCAGTGGCGGATTTAGGGGGAGTGATCGCCCACTCCTTCCGAATTTTTTTTTGATTTTTTACAGCAAAAGTGAACGAAAAAATAGGTTCACACTACTTCGATTGGACTCAAAAAATAGCTTTTAACCAAAATCGCCCTCCATACTAAAAAAAAAAAAATTCCCCCCCCCCCCCCCCGCTTCCAAAATCCTAGATCCGCCACTGTATCTATTACACTATTGTTTATTCATTTTTTTTGTCTAGTTCGCGATTCTAATTGGCATTGGCTTGATGGATCTGCAGTTGATGCGTCCGTTATTCCCTGGTGCCCCGATAGTACATATGAAACAGCAATTGGAGCATATTGTGCAGCTTATGATATTACTTTACAATGTGTTACTAATTATTTATGCAGTACTCTTCTACCAGCACCATGTGTACCTGGTAAGAATAAATAAATTTTCTCGTTTTAATTATATTTAGTTTTTTTTCTGAAAAATTTCAAGCAACAAATGCTATAAATACACAAGCAAAAATAAATTTAATAACTCGTATAGCAGCAACAAATATATGTGTAATTTCATCTGGAGGTGTTTATGCAAATTGGTGGACTTATTCAGTTTTACTTCTCAATTGGTTTATACTTTTTTGTTTTTCTCTTTATTTATGCAATCATTTTATTCTAAGTAAAAATATAATTTTATTAACAATAGCCATTGTTATATTATCATTTATTTTAATTCTTATCTATGCTATTCTATGGGGTATACAATGTATGTTAAAAAGAGAAGAATGATAGTTTTTTTTAATATATATTTATTGTTTGCTTTTTTTTAAATATAGATCAAGATATTATACAAATCCCATTAGCCATTGTTATTATTGGTTGTCTAGCTACGTTATGTCTTCTTATTGTATTATTAATAATATTAAGTAATCGTACTCGTGGTAATTATAAGAAAAATAATTTACATTTTTAAAAAATAAAATTTTCTTTTAAGTACAACGATTTATAGCATGCATGGTTTTATTACTTATAACAATAGTTGTTGAATGTTTTTTAATGCTTGGTTTAATTCTTTGTATTGCATATTGTTCAGGATATATTACACTTGCACCAACTAGTCTTGAAAAAGGTGATTAAATTTATTTTATTTTGCATTACTTATTTCTCTATATTTTTGTTTAGATGTTACTGCTTCACTTCTATCATCTTTAATTGCGTCGGTATCGATTTTATTTTATACAGGAGTTCTGTATCTATTAGGTAATGATAAATTCTTAATAAAATATTAAATTTAATATCTATTATAGAAAATAATGGTCTTGATCGTGTACATGCAGTTGTACCAGTAACTACAAATGTAATGCCATTAACAACGACACATCCAAATCTTGGTGTTCGCCCATCAAATAGTAACGTTCAAACAAATAATCATCGTCCACCTCCAGCAGCACCAGTTAAAAAAGTTGAACAAGTTGAACGTGCAACATCACCCGTTGATGATCGTATTCTTCAAGAATTCTATTCTGATCGACCAAAAGATGTACATCAATATAATTTGGAAGGTCGACAATATGTTGTTTATGAAGCAACTAATTTTACTGACATTGATACATATCGAAAAGGTAAATAAATGGAATAAGAAAATTTAAATTTTTTGTTTTGAAAAATTATAGAATTAACACAAGCAATGTTATTACAAGAACAACAAGGTCTTCGTGAAGCAATTGATCGTGCTAAAGGTTCAATACATGCATCAACTCTTGCTGAAGAAATTGATCAAGCTCAAGAGTTAGCTTTGAAATTAATGTAAACTTAAAAAGTTCTCTATAAAAAAAATTATATACAATATATGTCCGTCCAAGTGAAAATTATGTATATTTGATGTTGTTATTGTTGTTCTTTATCTTCGTTTATTATTTTTTATTCATTGGTATAGACCTATAGGAATCAAAGTTGATTCCTGTACTGCCCCTTTTCATTTTCTCATGCATAAGACGCGAATAAATAAATCATTATAGTATATATATACAATTGAAATATATGGACGATATATCTTTATATGAATTTGATGAAATTTTATGTATATACAACACAAAAAGTAATCATGCTGACGATGTTCATTCCAGAAAAACACATATAAAGACAGTGAAAGAGAAAAAAAAATAGAAGAAAACAATAAATTCTGTTTTTCTCATCTTTCTGTTTAACAAGAAGAAAAAAAAAATATTTCGGTCAACTAATGATGGAAATAAATCATCATTAAATATAAATATATATGTATATATACACACATATCTAACAATCTTTATTTTGTTAACAATAAAATATATGTGTATCTTAGTTTGTTTGTTAAGGAAATCTAACAAATAGAATAAAGTTTGGTTTTTAATAGAGTAAACAAAGCGGCAAATAAAATATTTACAAGAAGAACACAGATAAATGAAAATTAATTTAAGTATCATTTAGTCCTCCTCCACCAGTTGGTGCTAATCGCTGTTTTTTTGTTGTGGAATTTACATTTGAAGCTGTTCGTTTCGAAGGATTAGTTGTATTTGAATTATGTAATGGTGTTTGTTGTTGATCTTGTAACCATCGAACTTGTGTAGCTGGTCCATATCCACGTTCATTACGTGCTGCTATACGGAATATAATAGCTGGTTTACTACTTGAACTTATATCAAGATGTGCTTGAAGAAGTTGACTAGCATTTACTGCACATTCAGCTAATGCACCACCGTAAACACGTACAAAAGCCATTTGAGATGCTTGTTGTTGTGGTTGTTGACGAGCTGTTGCATTATCTGTTGCCGTATTTTTAACTGCCAAATAAACAGCATAACCAGTAATTAAAGACGAAGCACTTGATGGTGGATCCCAAGTTAAATGAGCACCGCCATCAGGTGTCTAAATAAAAAGATTAGTTTAGATGGTTTAATATAGAATAGCTACTACTATTTCTCAAGTCTAATATTTTATCAACATATACGAATATGTATTATGAAAGAAGCGATACTTCTTCAACTTTATGTTATATTCTTAAGATTTGTTACTCTATAAAGATGACATTTCTCTACTTTAGATAGCAAAGTATGTTTTGCTTAGTAATCGAAGTTTAATTTCATACTTTAGTAATTTTAATATTGGATGGTGCTGGTGGTGCACCAGGTAAACATGTTTTAAATGCAGCTGCTTCACTCCAAGGTCCTCGACCGCATGAATTAACTGCTGCTATTCGTAGTTTATAAATAACACCTGGTTCAAGATCTACTTTTTTAACTAAATTTTGAACTTGAAGTGTAGCAAGATCCTGAAAAATAAAAAAAAAGTAAGAATTATATAAATAATTTTATCTTTTTCATTTCAAATTCTACTAACATGATGATCAAGATCAATTTTTGATGGAACAACATAATAATGTTTTACATCCGTTGTTGTTGTTTTAAATGTTCCAACTAAATTCCAACCATCAGTATTATGATCATTTGCAGTCGTTTCATGAGTATCTATAACGATAAACTATTGATTTTAAAGAAAAATTTTTCGGAAAATTACTTGATGATTGTTGAGAATCAGTTTTTGTTACAGTTGGTTGTGTTGTACTGGAAGAATTTTGTAACTCTTAATTTAGAAAAAAAATAATCATTTTCTATTTCGAATTTTATTACTAAACATACCAGATGTTCCATTTTGTACAGGCTAAAATCAAAATAGAAAAAGATAATATTAACATGATTTCGATATAACAAAATTTTGTTTTTTTTATTACCTGATCATCAACAGTACCATCAAGTTGTGGAATGAATACATTTTGTTCAGATTTTTCTAAACTATACTCTGATGTTTCCATAGAATAACAACCATCAAGTTGTGGAATTGTATTATCTACAGTTGATTCATGTTGTTCATTATTATTATTATTATTCGTTGAATTAGTTTGATCGATATTTGTTGTATGTATTGTAAATTTTGGTTGTTGTTGTTGTCCTTGATTATTATTATTATTATTAAATGTATTTTGATTGAAAACTAAAACTTGTTGTTGATTTTGAGGTATCATATTTTTTTGTTGTGTATTTGTAGTTATTAAAATCGGTTGTTGTTGACGATTTGCTGATGATGCAGTAATAGCTTTAATAACTAATGGTTGTTGTTGTTTATTTGTATTCAATTGTATAAATTGTTGTTGACCTGTACCTGGTCGAAGAGTTGATGTTACTGGTGACATAAATCGAACAATTGTTGTTGGTTGTGTTGATGAAGTACGTACAACAGGAGATAAATGTTGAACACGAACACCAGCTGGCATAACAGTAAGAAGTTGTGGTTGTGTTGATGATGTTGTTCCTTTTTGATGAAAAATTATTGGACGAACATTTGGATTTGATGTTGTATTCAAAAATTGAATATTCGATGACATTGTTGGTCGAATAGCTAGATAAGTGTAAAGATCGAATTTAAATAAATGTATTTTATATGAACAAAAAAATTATACTTGTTGGAGAATGAGAAGTGATTGTTGTTGTTGTTGGCTTTTGAAAAATTAATGATGAATTTTTTATATTGTCTGGAGACTAGAAAACACAAAAAGAAAATAATTTCATAAGTATAAAATAATATAATTATTTACTTGTGATGCAGTTGGTAATGTTTGTGCATTAACTGTACTAAGTGATGAAGAAAGTGGTGTTTGTGATGATGATAGATGAGCTAATGATAATAAATCTGATGTAGATTTATTTAATAAAGTTGATGGTGACAAACATTGATCGGTAACAGCATCTAAATTTTATTTCAATTAAAAAAATAACTTTGAGCAGAAATAAATATATTTACCAGTATCGGATATTGCAGAAACAGATGCACTTGGTGGTTGTTGTTCTAAATAGAAAAATTATAAAATATTTATCTTGTATGATGAATTAAAAGTACCATTCGAAAATGTTGGAATTAATGATGCAAGAACTAAATATATATATATAAGAATAGAATATTTATAATTATTAAGGATTTATTTTACCTGATTGTGGACTTTTAGAAGCAAATAATGATGCAGATATAGATTGTAATGGTATAGATGAAGGATTTATTGATGCTTGGGATATAATAGGTGGTGTTGCAGGTAATTGTTCAATGGGTGCTTCGAAACGTTGAATTTGTAAGATGTAAGAATCAGCTATAGAAAAATTGGATTTAAAAAAAAACGATTTTTGTTTTTCAAGAAAAACTAACCAGTTGGAACGGGATTCCATGATATTTCCAAATTTCCAATACCTGCTTTTAATAATTGCACTTTTTCTGGTTCACCTGGACATGCTGTTTCTAAACACCATAAATCTTTACAACACACCTATATAAATGATAAAAATATTAGACAAAAACAAAAAGAATTGATTTCTATTTAACCTGATTATTCCAAGCTTTTCGATAACCATCTCTTCCACTCCAAATATACATTCTTGTATTCACAGTAACAGCACAATGACCAGCACGTGCTCGTGGAACATTATCATCAAGACATTCTTGTCCAAGAAGTTCCCATGTATTAGTTTCTAAAAATAAAAAAGTTTCAAATTATTTTTAAAATAGATTTTTTTTTTAATTTGTTCTATTTACCTAAATTAAAAGAAGCTAATGTATTTGTACATTTCCATTCTTTTTCATGACTAAGTTCATTTTTATCCGAAGATATTAATGGTACCCAACCACCAAATATAAACATACTGAAAATATTTCTGATTTTTATAGAGAAAAAAAATATAATATAGAATACAAACCGATGACCAATTATAACAGATGAATGAAGACTACGAGGTTGTGGTGCTAAACCAGATGCAGTTATTTGTGTCCATTGTGAAAAATCTATTTTTTTTTAAATAAAAATAAGAACTTTATTTTAAAAATAGAAGTAAGTATATTATACCAAGATAGAAATTCCATAGATCACCTAATCTATGACCATTCATTCCACCATAAATAATTAATTTTGTTCGATTTTCAGTTAATCCACGATATGAAACACATGAATGAGATTCACGTTCAACTGGTTGTGTACCACGAATAATAGGTTGCTCCCATGAATAATTATTTCCTTTACATTCAAGTACATAGAGATCATTTAAATATCTGAAAAATTTATTATTATTATATTAAAACATTGTTATTGTTTTTTTTATTTTCGATTCTATTTACTTACCGAGGTACATTTTGTTTTGGATCTTTACTATCATTAGCTAGACCGCCAAAGAGATAAAATTTCCCTTCACTATATGTAAATGTATGTCCTAGAATACAAACAAAAGTCAAATAAAAGAAAAATGAATTTAAAAATAAAATTTACCCAGTCGAGCACATGGTAATGGAGATGTTCTTGGTGGTCTTGGTTTTACTTTTTTCCATATCCATGTTATTGGATTAAGTTCCCAAAGATCTCCCGAATATTTTCCATATTCAATCATACCACCAAATACAAGAATTCGTAAACCATCAGTAGCAAAACCAAATGCAGCACAACCTGTTGGTATTTCACCTTTAACTAATGGTTGAAACCATTGACTTGTCGCTTAAAAAGAAATAAAATTTCAAAAATAAAATTATTCTTTTTATTATCTTTTTTATTTACCACAATTAAAAACATTAAGATCTTCAACAATACCCTCATTTCCTCCACCAAAGATAACTATTAAATCTTTGACAGCAACAGCTCGATGACCATGACGTGGTTTAGGATTTTGACCGATAGTTGAATCAAGACGTTTCCATTGAACTTTTGTTGTCATCACATCGGTATCAATCTTAATGATCGATTCACCGTAAATTAAGATTAAGACACGAATAAAAGAATAATGAATGGAAGATAGATAGACACAGAGATAGCTACTAATTCGCAGCCATTACAATCATATATATATTCATGCCTTTGTCAAGATTTTATTTTGACACTTCATATAGATTTTATAGGAAAAAAACTATTTTTTAAATATCAATTTGATAATAAAATCTTTTTAAATATTATAACAATATAATTAAATTTCCTGATCTAATTCAGTTATGCATTTGAATAGACCAATCAGATTTTTTTCGATAGAGGAGTTACTATGGTAACAGTACATGAAAATGAATGATGTGTCAAGAGAAGAAAAAACGTAAGAAATTAAGAATTTGTATAATAATTTCTTAATTAAATCATTTTATATTGTATTTTGATTTTTGTTTCAAGTTCAATACCGGTTACAAATCAAAACTCAAGAACTATATACTAAACTACTTCATTGGTTTAAATCACTTGAAAATAATCAATCATAAAGAGATAGATATATTTAAAATTGACATTTGTAGAAAAGTACAGCTATTATATTATATGTAGATTGAATTACAATAGTAGATACTAATAAGGAAGACATTTTACTAGACAAAGCAAAAAAAGAGAGTTCGTATTTATAACTACTGAAGTTGACTTATGTCCATTTCACAAACATTTTTATTTTGTACAAAGTATTCATCAAAAACAATCAAAATTCTTGTAGAATTTTTCGAGTGTATGTACCTATCAATCAGAGCTGATATCAATAGCTCCCTATTGCTACTGAGCAACTTGGACAGCTTCAAAATCTATGATTTTTTACTTTATCTTAAAATACTGATGTCGAACAAGTGTTCATAGACTGTTTCGTGTATTCTATCAATAACAGACATATGTGAAGCAAATGTATTATATGAAAGTATATTGATTAAGTATGACATCCTTTTACCCTAAAAAAAACTTGACGATCTCTGTTAATTAACCAAAGATTTATTTTATTGTGGATTTCAGATGGAAAAAAATGAGCTTGAAACAACGCGTATTCGTGGATTTACATCCTGGATTAATATGCGTTTGTTACCATTTGAAAAAGGTCTTGGAAATGTTTTAACCGATCTAATGAAAGGTACTAATATGAAATTGTTATTACAAAGTGTTACTGGAACAACTACAGACAAAATTCAATCATTTGAAAAATTAACTCCCGAACAATTACGAACTCGATGTGAATGGGCTGTTAAACATTTAAAACAACAGTAGAATATCTGATTTATTCATTAATATTTAACCAATGGAAAATATTTATTTTGCTTTAGACAAGTTCTACCTGATGATGTTCAAGTTGATGCACGATTATTTGCTGTTCGAAATGCAAAAAGTGTTCGTATCAAACTTACTAAAAAAAATTTTCATTTTCATTTTCAATATTAGGTATTTGATTTTCTTTGGCGATTAGTCGAACAAGATATCTGGTTTTTATGGGAACGTATTGATTTTCTTCTTCAAGATGATCCTAAAGCATTATTAAGCGTACCACTTAAAGTATTAAAACGAAATTTGTACTATGAATATTAATCTATCCTTCTATTTCAGTGGATTCCAACTGGTAATACAACAGATATTAGTAAATCAACAAAGAATATGCCAGGTTTAGCTAGTTATGGTTCAAAAAGTATTACAAATGATGTAACGAATCAAGGTGGTCGAGTAAGTTCTAATTATTGTAAATAATTTTTTTCTTTTAATAAAATTCGTATATTTACTATAAATAGTCCAGTCGGTACTTAGGTAAATTTGATGAAACTGAACAAATGGTTACTTTTTCTAAACGAAGTCTAAGTAAAAAATATCCTAAAGCAAGTGTATGTATTATTGAAATGATACAACTTGTTCTACAAGTAATTTTTGATTTTTCTTATATTATATATATTATCATTTCATAAAATAGAAAGTTCCAGAAGGACGAAGAATAAATTTTACAAAATTAACTGAATTATCTGATTTACGTGTTTTATGTAGTTTAATAAATTATTTTGTACCAAATCTTATTCCATCAGAAATTTTACTCAATGATAGGTTTGAATATATATTTGAAAATGTAAATTAAATGTATTTGAATTGATTAGATGGAGTTTAAATTTGGCTTTAGCAATTATCGATGATGTTCTCTGTTGTAAATCAAATTTAAGTTCGGAAGATCTTATTCTAGTAAACTTATCATAGATAATCTTTGTCTTATTATAGATGTTTTCGTTTTAGGCAGATGAAATGTCGATTTGTGCATTTATATGTTATTTTTTTCTTGTGTTTTTTAAATATCATCAAAGTGAAATTGCTATTCGCCGAGCTGTAAAGACTTTTTTTTTCTTAATTAAATAAATTTCTGTTAAATATATTCTAGGATGAAATGCGTCGACGACAATTTAATGCTTCACAAAAACTTCGTAAATTAGATGAAACAAATATAAATGAAGATAAAAAACAATTAGAACAAGAAGTATCAGAATGTAATCAGGGTAAAGAAATTTTTAGATATTATCTAAATGCTAATTTTATTTATTTAGAATTAACGAATTTAAGAAAAAGATATGATTTACGTAGTGCATCACAATGGCGTGAACATGTCGAACAAACACGAGTCAAAGTAAGATAAGAACATAGGTTCTAATACAGAAGATAGATTTTAATAAGGTATCAACAATTGTTTCGAATAAAATGCAAGTACGATATGATTGGTTTGATGTACCAGAAGAAAATACAATTGCAGAAGTTTGTCGAAAAAAAGCAGTTAATTTAGTAAGAAAATTTTTGACAATAAAAATCGACATAATTGTTTTTTTTTATTGTAAGATTCTTACAGAAGGTTATGCATTCTATCGTATATTAGATGGGAAACAAGAAATAATTACATCTGAACGATCATTTATTTTAATACATAAAGAAACACATGAAGTTATTGTTGATAAATCGTTATGTAAAAGTAAAAAATTGTCATTAAAATGTATACATTTATTTTATAAGAAATTTATTTAGATGATGATGATAGTTTAAATCCAATTATTCGAAAAGGTATTCATTAGAATGAATAAATAAGTTGTTTAATTTATACTTTTTTTCGTTGAATAGCAAATGTTCGTGCGATTTTGAATATTGATAATATTAATGGTGGTACTGAAGTAAAAGCTGATCGATATCCTCAATATGAAGTATACCAATAAATGTTTGTTTTTTTGCTAATATAATATATTTTAATTAAAATTAGATCTATATTGATGCTCCATCTCAAAATAAACTTTTACCTGCTAAAACAATGTTTTTATATCAAGTTTTTCCTGATTCATTAAAATTTTATCATAATTTTCTTCTCAAAGCATGTAGTGAAGGTTATCTTGATACAGTCGAACATCTCCTTCAATTTCTTCAAAAACTCTATCCCGATTTTATTAATATGCATGAACAAAATACGCTCAATACCGCATTGCATGTTGCTTGTAAACATAATCAAATAGTTTAGTTCAAACTCTCTTTTCTTTTTGGTTTTAATTTATCTAATCAATATTTTTCCAATTATTTTATTTAATAGAATATTGCTCGTTGTTGTTTGGATAATGGTGCTAATGTTAATAGTTTAAATAAAGATGGTAATACGCCATTATTTTGTGCAGCAGAAAGATTTTCCAAATCATGTGCAAAAGTAAGAGAAAAAATTTCTAAATTTACCAAAAAGTAAATCATGTTTAGTTATTATTGGAATATGGTGCGGATATTACAATTGTTAATAATAGAAAAAAGACAGTTAGTGAAACATGTCCTAGTGAAGATTTTCAACAAACATTAACAAGTATATGATGTAATAATAAATCATATATATATATGTTCATATGAATATTGTAGATGTAAGTGAATTTATTGCATCTGTTATGCGAGCATTAGCACGTGGTGATGGAGAAGTACTCGATAGAGTCATCACTGATCATGTTGAAAATCGATATACACTTAGGTAAAAATATTTTTCATGTTTTATTCGTAATAATGAATAAATTAGTTATTTATTTTAGTTCGTTAAACAGCAGGTAAATTCGAATATCCATTCTTTCAGTATTTTTATGATACATCTTTTAAATTAAAAGATTTATTAAAGGAAGTACTCTGTTGCATACAGCATGTTCTTTTAATAATTTACCAGCTTTAAAACGTCTTGTAAAATTAAATGTCAATCTCGATGTACGAGATCAACAAGGTAAAACAGCACTTCATCGTACAAAAGATATAGAAATTATAAAAGTTAGTTTATTTTGTTTTGAATTTTTTTGTTTCATTTGATTGTTTTGTTAAAGTTTCTTCTTGAATCAAATGCTGATATTAATGTAACAGATTATGATGGTAATACTCCAATACATGTAAAATGTGCTGGTGAACGTAATAAACCTATTGAATTGGATGTTATTCGAGTTTTACATGAATATGGAGCTGAATTAGATAGATGTAATTTAAATGGTGAAACATGTTTTCATCTTGCAGCACGAAATGGACATACAGAAGTTTTACAATTATTATTTGAACTTGATGAAACAACTATTAGAGAATCTGTTCAAGCAATTGAACAAAAACCAAATCAAGAAAATACATCAATCATCGGATTAGCATTACGATCTGATCATTTAGATTCAGCTACTTGGTAAAATACAAACAATATATAAATTTATTTGTTTTTTTAATAAGAATTTTATTCTAAAGGTTACTTGAACATGGATTTATGTTCAAACAAAATGAAGCAGATGAATTAATACATGATATTTTAGCAGAAAAAATATTTTCGTATTTTTATTATTTTCTTTTTTTGTAAATAATTAAATATTCGTTTTTGTATAGAGGTGAACCAGAACATATTTTACAATTTCTTTGTAAAGAAGGTAATGCGACATTATCAACTATCTATGATGAAGGCAATACGTAAGATAATTTTGTTTTTCTAAAAATTTATGTTATATTTGTACTTAGTGCTATTCATTTGGCTGCATCAATGGCATCAACAGAACCATTAAAATTCTTAATTTCACTTGACTTTGATCCAGATGTAATTAATCAAGCAAAAGAAACACCATTATTTGTTGCTGCTCGAACAAATAATATAGATACTGCATGTGTGTTAATAGCACACGGCATTGATTGTGGAATAAAAAATATTCATGGTAAATTTTTTTATTGATAATTAAATTTGTTAGAACTATTCTTTAATAAAAACCTTTAGGTTGTACAGCATTTGATTATATTCTTGATATTGATGAATGGGTAAAGTCAGTTAAATTTGATGAAGATACACGTGGACGTCTTCGTGCTTATAAATATAAAGATATTCGAACGCTTATGTATACAGTAACATCGAAACTTAATCAATATGATGCACATGTAGAATCAAATCGAAATACAAATCAATCAAAATCATTATCAAATATTTAACTGCTAAATTAATTAGACATTGTTTAATCAGTATGACAACGAAAATACTAAGCAACTGTTTATTGATAATAATTTATACATCGGTGACATATTTTTTATTATTATTATTATTTTTTAACATTGTTTGTACTTTGGGATTTCATAAAAAAATAAGGAAACTTTCTCTAATAATAACACTGATGATTGTGTTCTATAATGAGTTAAGTAAACTAATCGATCTTACTTTTCTTTTATTGAAAATACAGGTATGCTATACTTGTGTTTCATAGAATCCTTATCTGAGATTTCAACACATACATACATTGTATCGTACGAGAGTATAATTCAATCACATAGTTATTAGGATTTATTTTTTGCAAAAATCGAAAAGTTTCGATTCGTGCGCCATCTTGTTATTTATTGAGAAAAGAAAATGACGATTGTAAGCGAAAAATAAAACATTTTTGATTTTTCTTCGTCCGTTTACATACATTTTTGTGATTCATAATTTATTTGTTTGCCGTCTGTTTTGTAAAGTATATTAGTAATATAAAACTTTTTTACTTATTTTTCTTCGTTCATTCTGTTCTGCATTCGTTGTGTTGGCATATATGCTTCTCAGCAACATATGAATTCAATCATTTGAATGCACTTGAAAACACATGCAGTCACAGGAACTACGTTACAAGAAATTGGTTCGAAAAGTGCGTATAGTGCTGATTAATGGTGAATCTTTCGTTCTTCTTAGCGATGTTCGAGATACATTCGAACGTCCTATTGTTCGATTTAGCATCAATGGTGAACCAATTGGATTTGCTTTAGATGATAAATATAGACCAATTGAACCACTTCGTATTCTAGTAACACCATACATCAATAATATAATTGATTGCGAAAAGTCTGACAATACTAAGTATAACAAGAACAATAAAGAAAGAGAAACAGATGCGATGATTGCTGAAATAAAAAGAGTACAAGAGAAACTTGCTGACATCGAACTTACGTCAAACAAAATTCTTGTGAATACTGATGTACTGATCAAAAAAGCAGATGCTATACTTCGACAAACATTTGAACTAGCTGAATATACTATTCCACGTCTCTTCGTTATTCTTCCTGAAATAAAAACATCGATCAATCCAATCAATTGGTGGACACGCTCCTATCGACTCTTCTTTATTTGTGAATGTGATAACGAACGTCATTTTGCATTCCATGAAGGCTACGAAATGAAACAGATTCGAGAATTTTTTCGCAAATACGGACCATATGTACAAAAAATGTTAATTGTAGTTCGAGCTGCTATTGCGGTGAGCAGTTTTGTTTTGCCTCAATTGACATATTTTTCTCCGTCTGTTCAGCAAACTATACCTCGTTTTCTATTAGACAAGAGTTTTCAAGACACATTAACTAATAAACTCAATAGTATGGATAATGTTATTGAAGATTCTCTCAAAGAAAATCTATCAACAAGAACTATGAATGCCTTACATTTAGAAGATAATATACAAGGTGTCGAATTAAGAGAGATTAGATCTTTTCTTAAACGTACAGATAATCAAAGTAGTTTTGGAAATCTATATCGTTCAACGAATGAGAATGGACAAATTCGATGGTTATGTCTTCATCATTATCGACAGTATTCAGGTGAAAAACAAATAGAAGGTCTTAAACAAGAGTTTCATCAGTTAGGTGGAGAGATTCGACTCGATAATGCTATAGTGGAAAAATCAAGTGCAAAAAGATTAGAAGAGATGTTAGATGTTATTTGTCGAGGATTAGTACTTTTCAAAATAACATTGAAAAATTGTAAAATTCGAACATCTGTTTTCGATAAGTTACTGTCAATAGCATGTCAACGAAATTTAATTCGACATATTAAATTTCAAGATATTATAATTCAACCAACTGTTGGATTTTCTAAAACACATCGAGAAATTATTTCGAAGTTTGAAGAAGCACTCAATAACAATAAACACCTTACTATCGAATATACTGTGTCTTTAGATGAGGATATTATGAAGAAGGATAATTCTTTACTTTCTCATTTTGTAGCACATTCTACTCGTAGATTATCGCTTAATTTATATACGAATGATATTATCGAACGATTTTTATGTTCTGGTCTATCAGATTCAGATCTTCAAACCATTCGAGAGTGGATTTGTAAGAGTAAATTATCTTGGAGTGTTCGTTCTAGCGATAGAGATCGTTTCGTATTTACTCATTCATCACAAGAAATGAAACAATCTCTTGTTATATTGACCAGTTTCTTGATGCAATTCCAAAACTTGCGTGAGCTTAGTTACTATAAAACTACAATAGAAGAAGATATGTTACAAACTTTATGTAAAGCTTTAGAGAGTAATGCAACATCCCTTCGAATGTTGCATTTCAGAGAAAAACCTATCGCAAATATTTTGACAAATAATAAGATCTCACCAATAGAGCTCAGTAGTTCATGTGTACCTCATATTGTAAATATGTTAAAATGTAATATTTCTTTAACAGAACTTACTTTACCATCCATCTCTTGTCTACATACAGATGACATTGTATCAATCATAGAAGCTTTACGAATACATCCACATTTATGTATACTACAGATAGGATCTATTCCTTCGATTTTAAGAGGAGACTCTTATAATGTATTTGATCGTCTGCTTAATGGTACGATAATCGAAGATTTTACATGTGTTATAGATGGGGATGAGCAATTTTTTACTTTAAGAGATGCTTTAGAAAAGAATATGATGTTAAGTTCACTTCGTATTAGTATTTTCAATAT